AAAAAAGAACTGTAAAAGTGTTCTTTACAAAGCTGCTCTGGTAATATGCAAAATGTTAACATAGGCTATAATATAGTATATAATATAGTACAGTCAAGGTCCTTTAAAATATTGATCTGGGTGGGGTCCTAAGAAAGGTTCTTTTTTAAAAAAATAATGATTTCAATTTTAATATATAGGGCATTATAACATTTTGAAATGTTTAAAAGAAAAATGAATCAAAAATATTTCTCTCAGGGCCGGCCAAGTGGCTCAGTTGGTTAAGAGCTCGCTCAAGAGTGTGAGTTCTGAGCAACAGCAGTTCAAGTCCCAGCCCAAGCTGAGCTGCCGCTGAGCTGCCAACAGGTGGCAGGATGGCTCAGCTAAAAAAAAAAAAAATCTCTCCAATAGTTCTATCTCCATTCCAAAGCAGTTTATTATCTCAGTGGCTCAAATGTGGAAGTCATCACCCAGGGGTTCCCATCTGATTTGGTGCTGTAGATGATACATCAAAGAGAAGGCCTCCCAGAGAAACACTAGTGTTTGGAAAGGCAGCTATAGATGAAATGTGTAAGGACACATGTTTGTGCCCTGAAAACAAAACTCAAAATGAATGACATCTTTTTCTTTAACTGCAAATATCAATAATGAGTGTGGTGAGGATAGGCTGTGGTGAGACAAATATTATCATAAACTGCTAGTTGGGAACGAAGGACCTTGTTCAACCTTTCCAGAATTTCCGTAATTTATAAATATGTCTTAATACAGACATACCTTGTTTTATTGTGCTTCCCAGATACTGTGTTTTACAAATTGATGGCTTGTGGCAAACTTGAGTAGAACAAGTCTATTGGTGCCATTTTTCAACAGCATTTGCTCACTTCTTGTCTCTGTCACATTTTGGTAATTCTCCCAGTATTTCAAACCTTTTCATTATTATTGTATCTTTTATGGTGATCTCTGACCAGTGATCTTTGATGCTACTATAGGGTAAGGCCCTCCATCAGCAAAAAGATTACAACTCGCTGAATGCTCAGATGACGGGTAGCATTTTTTAGCAAGAAACTATTTTTAAATTAAGGTGTGTACATTGTTCTTTAAAAGAGAAAGTGTACACACCTTAATAGACTACATTTCACACTTAATAGACTACAGAATAGTGTAAACATAACTTTTATATGCACTGGGAAACCAAAACCTTTGTGTGATTTGCTTTATTACAATATTTGCTTTCTCGCAGTGGTCTGGAACCAAACCCACAATATCTCCAAGGCATGCCTATAATTTTAAACAGTTCCTACTCTGCCCCTGAGGCCCACGACCAGTAGTATACTTTTAGGAAATAAATTTTTCAGTAATTATTTATTACTGAAAAACTGAAAATAGGGGATATCTGAAAATAGGAAAAGAATATATTATGGTAAACCTATTTAATGGAAAATATTATAAGCGATTAAAGTGAATGCTTCTGTAAACTCTATTAAGAAAAGGGGAAAACATAAAACCAAATGACTTACCTTACCATTTCACAGTCATCAGATACCAGACTGACTGACCAAAAAACATGCTCCTACAAAATTTTTCATTTAAAAATGTTTATGGTAATAAGTAGAGCAAAAAGAAAAGAATGTCAAAGCTATATCATAGTGCAAGTAAATTTAAAAATATTTTCCTAGGAGTGACGTCAGCAAGAATAGGAAGTCTCAGTTCTTGTTCCCCCACAGAAACGCCAACTTAACAATGATATAGGATTCAAAATACCTTTGTGAGAATGCCAGAACGCAGTTAAGATGACGCAGTACTTGAGGCAAGGAAGAATCCAGGAAGAGCTGCATTGATAAAGGTAAGAAAAGCAAAGATTGGGAGAGGGGTGCATAACCCAAGGTTTTTTTCTTGGGAGGGCAAAAGAGGAGTTGAGTGTTTTCTGGCATTCTGCCTCATCAGAGGGCTGGCCAGGGGAAACAGTATCTGTTTGCCTGACAGGGGGCATTGACAGGGAGCTGGAATACTCTGGATGTCTAGCTGCAGCTCAGAACAAGGGAGAGCTGGTGGCTTGCTACTACAAAACCCCAAAATCCCCAAATCTGGGGAGGGAAACAGACATCCAGATTCAAGAAGCCCAACATTCTCAAATAAAGATAAAGATATCCACACCAAGACACAGTATAATAAAATTGTCAAAAGTCAAGGAAGAGAGAATTCTGAAAGCAGCAAGGGAAGAGTGATTTGTCATATACAAGGCAGTCCCTTAAGACTATTATAGGATTTCTCAGCAGAGAAACCTTGAGGTTCAGGAGAGAGTAGGATGACATATTCAAAATGCTGGAGTGGGGGTGTGGAGGGGGGAGTGGCGGGGCGGGGAAACAAAACAAAGCAAAACAAAACAAAACAAAAAACCCTGTAAATCTGGCCGGCTGGGTGGCTCAGTTGGTTAGAGCGTGAGCTCTGAGCAATAGGGT